AATGACAACGCCCAACTTCGTCAAATTATTCCCGCCCGGAAAATGCTTGTATCGCATATTTGATCAGTCAATAAAAGAATTAAAAACAAATTATTCCCGCCCCTTACCACAACTATCTGGACATTTCTGATAAACACAGAGCCATTGTCCTGCCTCCCCATCACCCTTATGGTTGCCCAGTCGAGCTTTCACCTGGGGTAGAAATTCCGTTCAGACGAATGTGCCCTTTATCGGAACCTGAACATGATGCATTAAAGGACTATATTGACTAGAATCTTAAAAAGGGGTTCATCCATCCTTCTATATTCCAACTTGCACTAGAATCTTTTTTGCAGAAAAGAAGGATGACTCTCTCAGACAATCTATTGACTAATGGGACTTAAACCAGATCACCATTAATAAACCTTACCCAACCGCATTCTCCTTTCTCTTGGAACTTAATTCTGCTTCTTTTTCACCAAGTTGCTTTTGAGGAACTTAAAAGACAGTTTACTTATAATCAAATTCATACCTTTATCTTTTCTTTTGTTTAGCATGTAAACTTTTTATTGTAAAGATATATACTATACTATGTATGCTATACATAGTATAAATCACAGAGGTTTTAGGTAGAAATGCATAATAAATCTTAACTACAAAAGGAGAACTTATACAATACTTAAAACAACCTCTAATGGTCAAGCAACAGCACAGTACAATGAGTATGAGTAACTGGATTACTTCATGAGACAAGAAAAGAAGAAGGGGCTATTAGGTAAGCAAAAAGGTCAGTGTATAAGATGGAGGCTAATCAAGATCTGCAAGGACGTCTAGGGCAGTGCTCCCCAACCTTTTTATCGCCGGGGACCGGTCAACGTTTGATAATTTTACCGCGGCCCGCTGAGGGGGGATGTTAATTGTTTATATTTTAGATTGTTTTGATGTAATAATATTATTTAATTGTATTTAAGCATGCCTTCAAAATAAAATACAGTTACACCAACAAATGAATATAAAGTGATTTAACATTTTAACTCACTAGAACGCTAAATCAATGAGAACCCTGAGCTTGTTTCTTTGCAACGAGACGGTTCCATCTGGGAGTAATAGGAGACAATGACACCCGAAGTGTGTTGCTTATGTCCAGTTTATTCCGTTGTTTTGTTTTGGTTGCTGTCACTGCAGAAAACCCCGCTTCACACAGATAGGTTGTCGCAAATGGCAATAGGGATTTAAGTGCTGTGGTGGCAATCTCAGGGTATTCCGCCATGACTTTAATCCAGAACACCGGCAGAGTTGTTGTCTCGAATGTAGTTTTAAGGACGCCGTCATTTGCAATCTCCAGCAGTTGATCTTCTTCTTGCACAGACATGCTAGATTCGCCTGATTTGTTGACAAATGGGTTGCGGATCCATTCCTTACCAGTTCGTGGGTCTTTTGTGGTTGGGAAGTAGCGCTCAAACTCTTTTAAAAGCAAAGACAGGTGATCTTGCACCAACTGGGAGAATGAATGTTCAGGCTCAGTCTCGCCTAAAATCCCCGCTAATGTCTGAAACATGTCCAAAATGCCTCCGTTCACGCGCCGTCCCCACAACTCCAGTTTGGCTTTAAATGCAGCTACTTTGTCTGCCAACTTGAAAACAGTTGTCATTTTCCCCTGAAGGCACAGATTGAGTTCATTGAGCAGGCTGAATATGTCACACAGGTAAGCCAGTTTTGCGACCCATACCTTGTCACTGAAATGTGCTGCCAGTGGTGAGTTCTTTTCTGAGAGAAATCTTTGCAATGGCTCTCGTAATTAAAATACTGTGGTTAGCGATTTTCCTCTGTATAACCATCTTATTTCTGTGTATAAGAGAAGGCATCTGTACTCTGCGTCCATCTCCTCACAAAGCTGGTCAAATAGGCGCGAGTTAAGGGCGTGTGCTTTGATGTGGTTAATAACTTTATAATAATCTTTATTAAAGTCTTTATTTTTTGATAAAAGAGTGGAGTGCTACTGTATGGGAGGGATTGTATGGGAGGGATAGCACTAGGCTGAACATACCACAGACACCGCCTCTGGACTGACAAGACTGACAGGCAGATACTGAGTGATCTGATACCGCCTCTGGACTGACAAGACTGACAAGACTGACAAGACAAACAGGCAGATACTGAGTGATCTGATTGGCTGTGGCCGCTTTGTGATGCCGCCCCGCGCTGTGATTGGCTGAAGGTCACGACGCTGTGCACGCTGTCGCCGGGCAGAGCGGGGGATCGGAACTGCAGGCGAAGGACCGCGAGTCGCCGCTCGCATGTGCGCCGCGCTGCTGCGTCTACGGCCCGGTAGGAATTGAGCCACGGACCGGTACCGGTCCGCGGCCCGGGGGTTGGGGACCACTGGTCTAGGGCACCCAAAGATTGTGCAACTTATGAAGTGAGGTACCACGTCATATCCTGAAATAACAGCATTGTGGTCTTCAGTTGCTCTAGAGACAGCTCCATTTATCCATTTTGTTTTGGTTTGATCTTATATTTGCACACATATACAGTATATTTAGAAGCTATTTAAAATTTTGGCAATAGTCTTTTTAGTCTTTTTTTTTAGCTACATATGGATACTTAAGCTGATATGAATTATAATTTCATCACTCCTGGCAGACCTATAAACTGTATTGGTACACAATTATGTTCAGAACACAGGTCATTTTAAGACATTGATTGCTCAAAGGCAAGCATCTCATGACTGTAATCCACCATAGCCTTGCATCGCATCTAAACCTAAGGTTGTTTCAATGGCTTCTTCCATGCTCATATCCCCCCCAACACAAAACAAGAAGTATATCAAATATATAATGGGAAAAAAGCTTGTTTGCTACATATGCCAAAAGTCAATATCCATTCAGCAAACTTTATTTGTCTGTGCAAAGTTAAGATGTGCTTCACGATCTTAGATTTAAGTTCCTATGCATGTTTATATTATAACTGGGCATCAGAGGAGTTGATTTACTAAAGGCAAATATGCTGTTCACTTTTTACTTTGCAAGGGAATTCTCCTTTAGCTTAGTAAATGAGGAAAAGCTCTGCCTTCCATCATCCAATCTTTATTCATTACAAAGTAAATTTTTACCACATTTGCTAAGCTAATGGAAAATTTACTTGCAAAATACAAGTTCCCTTTCTTTGCCTGTAGTAAATTAACCCAAGAGAATCAGGACCAAAGTTATCAAGTAAAATAACAATTTACAGTAGTATAACAGGTTAGAAATAGGAGACATGGGGTTTAAGAATAAATGGGTTTAGCCTACATGGTTAACTACTGCACCCAGTATGCTGTGTAGCTCTGGACCACTGCACTGTACACACTGTTGCATATTCAAGAATGCTGCATTCGGTACACCTTCTTGCACGTTTCATACTCTAAACCACCGCACTCTTATATCTCTGAAAAATAGTCAAAAACTGCTGTGCTATGCACTATATTTTCCAAACTGCAAAACCTTTTTTTTTAAATGTGGAATTTTATCCTGTTCAATGAATGACCATACATTTGCTTTTAAAGGCCTTTGCCTTTTATGTAGAGGGAATTATTATATTCTGTACTGTTCCAAAAGCATTAAAACCCATACCTGAAATTCATTGCTGTGTTAAGTCTACTGACCTTAATATTTAATGTAATTTACATTTTACATCCCTAATCTTATTTCATTTCATGTTTCTCTTGATTAAAGTTTAAAAGGCTTAAGGCAGATGTTCAGGTTTAGCCTACCTAGCACTGATAATAAACAAATACTTATACGGAAATGTACAAGAATTAATGTTTTAATTTTGTGTTTTTGTAGGTTACTGACATGTTAAATCCAACTATTTAGTTATTAATAATCCATAATGCTCAGATACAGTGATGTTAATCTAAATGTTATTTACATTTTATATGAAATGTAAGAGAAACAGAAGTGGATATAATAGATAGCAAAGTACTTTCAGTAACTGTTCTACAGAGAATCCAGATTTGATTCTCATATAAATTTTTCAAGGATTTTCCACTAAAAACAATAGATATAATTTAGAAACTAGAATGTGTATTTGCCTAGAGAAAATATTCTTTAGATAACACCTCTTTTGTTGCCTTTGTGCAAACGCTTGTAACTGGATGATGAGTAACAGAAAACATTTGCTAACTAACTGTGGCTTATTTACACAAAGTCATGTCATTGCTCTTCAGAAATATACCTACCTTACCCTGAACACTGTTCTAAGCTGCAGCACTCTTGCTCCCAAAGCAGTATTGTTGAGCATTAGAGCAATGTTAGTTGTCTGGGGACTTGTTGAACCGCTAATGTGCCAGGACACTGCTTTGTGTAAGGGATCCCTGGTCCAACTCTTCTCTGTGCTACCAAGGCATTTTAACATTTTCTACAGAACTTAGTAGTTAAAAAAGAAAAAGAGTCCCATGTTTGTCTTTGTTGTATTGAGTATTGTTTAGACAATAGCAAAAAATAGCATCTTGAAAATTTTTATCATATGTTAAGAAACATCAAATACCTTAAAATACACAAAAAGAAAAAAGAAATGGGTTTTGTTTTTTAAGAAATATTATAATTAAAACACCCTTATAATATTAAGAAATAGTATGTAACAAAACATGCTTTACCAGATCAGTTAAGAGTTTATGTTCACTAGCATGATCATTTGCAAACACAGATGTGATTGTGGTATTCATGACTAGGTTCTTCATATCAATATTCTCTCTGCTCTTGTACATTTAGTTTTAGTAAATCAGTCCTAATGTTTTAGCACAACCATTTTAATTCATCAGAGAAGTCCAGTTATTTTAATTTCCATTGCATCATGCACAATGGTTTTATCATATGTGCATAAAAACTGTCATTTATTTCTAGATCACATTTTTTAAAGTAGTAAAATTAGCTTTTAAAATGTCATGTGGCATATTATTTATATACATCATAAATAAAGAATAAATAGATTAATAAAAAACAATAATTTTTCCCCATAATTAATCCCCATTAATTACTAACATGACCTCCATGGATATGAACGCAACCCAGTGCACATCATGCTCAATGTTTGTGTTCCTTGAGCAAGTGTTTGAGGGTGAATACTGTTGTGCAAAGTGTGTGAAAATGGTTACTCTGGAAGCCCAGATTCTGGATTTAGAGAACCGACTGGCAACACTGAGGAGCATTAATAACATGGAGAAGAGTTTGGACTTGACTGAACAGGTGCTGGCAGGAGCCAGGTTAGAGGAGGGTGGTAACATGGAGGAGCAGGACTCAGAGGTAGCAAACTGGGAAACAGTCAGAAGGTGGCTTACAGGGAAGAGTTTTAGAGAGGCTAGACCTGAATTGTTACACCCCTATAAACATGCCAGTTTGCATGATATTGGGGATATCAGCTCAGGGGTAGCACTGCAGGAGCAGAATAATTCCCCTAGCTGCCAGGGGAGTGATTTCTCTGGTATAGAGGGTTGCAGGGCCTAAGCAAAGACAGACAGATACTGGTGGTAGGGGATTCTATTCTTAAGTGAACAGGCAGAGTCATCTGCCACAAAGAACGTGATCACTGAACAGTATGTTGTCTTTGCAGGTGCTCGGGTTCAGCATATTGCGGATCAGATGGACAGATTATCGGGTGGCGCTGGGGAAGACTCATACCGTCACAGATCTAAATAGTGGGAAAGAAAGGCAATGTCATCATGGGGGACTTTAATAATCTTGATATAGATTGGACAAATTAAACAGCAAACTCTAGAAGGGCCCGTCACTTCTTGAACAGTCTCTGATATAATTTTATGGGACAATTGGTGGAAACTCCGTCGACGGAAAATGCTCTATTAGATTTATTAATTACAAATAACACAGCTGATTACAGATGTGGAAGTCGGGAACAAGATAGACAGCAGTGATCACAGAATGATAATGTTCACGGTAAACTCAGGGAAACACAGGCATATAGGTAATACAAGAAGACTCTATTTAGGAAAAGCTAACTTTGATAAACTAACACACTTACTATGTGACATAAATTGGGATTAAATATTCCTATATAGGAACACAGAGGAGAAATGGAAAGGTTTGAAGGAAATCTTGAATAACAAAATTGGTCCAGTGCGTTCCATTTACAACTAAATTCAGAAAAGCAAAAATTAAACCAGGGTGGTTAAAAAGCAAGGTAAAACAACACATGAGAGAAGGATAAGGCCTTCAAAAAATATAATTTAGAGGGGTCAGCATCGACATTCAAAAACATGCAACAAAAAAATTTAGAAAAAGCATTCTGGGCATCAAAAGTAAACTATGAAGAGCACATAGCATTAGTAGGCAAAAAGAACCCCAAGGAATTCTTTAAATATATAAATAGTAAGAAAGTACAGACGGAACATATAGGCACCATAAATGATGATGAGGGGAGGTTGGCTACCACGACAATGAAAAAGCAAACATATTAAATGGATTCTTTTCTTCTGTCTTTACATACAAGACAGACGTGTGCATCGATCAGGGTATTAGCTGCGGCGATAGTAGTACCAGTTTTAATACATCTCTGTGGCTAACGGAGAGCAGAGTAATACAGAGATTAGAAAGATTTAATGTAAACAAATCGCCAGGACCAGACGGGTTACATCCAAGGGCACTAAAGGAACTTAGTCAAGTCATAGCCAGACCATTGTACAACATTTTATGGACAGTATAATGACAGGTATGATCCTGGCTGATTGGAGGATAGCAGATGTAGTTACCAATATTAAAAAAAGGGAAAATAAGTGCACCGGGAAACTACAGGCCTGTCAGATTAAAATCAATAGTGTGTAAAATATTCAAAGGCCTGATACGGCAATACATGCAGGAATTTGCAAATAAAACTGGTATCATAAGTGGTAATCAATGTGCTTTCATGATGGAATGTTCTTGCCAGACCAATCTTATGAGGAATTAAATACTAAATTAGACAAAGGGATACCAGTAGACTTGGTGCATCTGAACACAGTACCCAACAAATGTTTAATCCATAAACTTAGGTCTAGATGAATGTGTATGTACATTGGTGGAAAATTTGGCTGCAAGAATGGACCCAGAGGGTAGTGATAAATGGGTCATTCGCTAATTGGGCAAAAGGTTTGGAGTGGCGTGCCCCAGGGTTCAGTCCCGGGACTGATCTTGTTCAACTTATTCATCCACAACATAAAGATTGGACTAAATAGCTCAATTTCGGTTTTTGTGGATGATACTAAACTCTGCAGAGCATTAAATTCCGAACAGGAGATATTTGGACTACAATAGGACATAAGCAAAATCGAGGCATGAGCTACAAGATAGCAAATGTGATTTAATATTGGAAAATGTAAGGTTATGCACCTCAGAGTTAAGAAAATGTGTGCAAACTACTACCTGGGGGTGGTACTTTAGGGAAGTCAGACATAGAAAAAGACCTGGGGGTTCTCACAGACAACAGATTTGGCAATAGAAAGCAATGCCAAGCTGCAGCCAGTAAAGCTAACAAGGTACTGTTGTGTTAAAGGAGGAATTGTAGCAAGGGATCAAAGAGTAATAGTTCCACTTTCTAAATCATGGGTTGGGCCCCATCTTGAGTATGCAGTACAGTCGCCGACTCTCAGGGACGTCCTGGAACTGGAGAGAGTTCAGAGAAGGGCTACAAAATGAATTGAAGGGATAGAGTAAGAAAGAGCGCATTTAAAATTTTTACTCTTTCACCTTAGAAAAGAGGCAATTAAGAGGGGAACTTATTTCAGTCTTCGAAATCATCAATGGGGACCACAAAATCAGGAACAAACTGTTTAATCTGAAAACTTTATTGATAATCTGGAAACATAACAAAAGGTTAGAAGAGAGGGGGTTCAATCTTAGAATTTGTAGTGGGAATTTCACTGTGAGAGTAGTGAAAGTTTGGAATTCCCTACCACAGGTGGTGGTATCTGCAGATAACATTAATACATTCAAGAAACTTCTGGATGAGTTTCTTCTTTCGCAGAATCTACAGGGATATGGGGAGTGTTAGAGCAAGATAAACACACACACACACATACACATGCTGTTTGGGCAATGTTTAGAAGCTTTATTTTATGAGTGTGTGTATTTTTAGAATACATATGGGTTGCTTTACTAAAGCAGTGAAGGCTGTGCACTTTGCAAAGTAAACAAAGTAAATGTTAGTAAATATGGTGAAACTAACATTTTCAATCATGTATGAGAAAATTAGAAAAACAGGATTTTTGCTGGCTCATGATTGGCTAATTGAAGTAAACAAAGCCTCACCCTACTTAGCTCAAAAAACATTTATTTTGAAAAGTGAACACTTTAGTAAATTAACTTTATCAGCACATTTGTAACTATCTTTAATTTCTATGAACTGTTAATTTTCATTTTTGTAATCATTTATATATCTGGGTAGAGCCATGTACATGACCACACAATAAAACTCCACATTAGTTTTCTTGCTGTAACAGTATGAAAAATAAACTATTATTGCTAATGTGCACATTTCAGTATTGCTAGAAAGCCTTCATAGATGTGAAACATTGCCTTATCAAATTTTCCATTATTATAATTTGAAAATGTAAGCATAGTTCAAAGTGTGAACGTTGAGGTTGACATTATTACTGCACATGACACAAACATGACACCAATTATTCCATCTCAGATTCATGCAGTGCCATCAAATGTGTGATAACGAATGCTTTCAGTCCTGCTCATTGTTAAAAATGTATAAAGCACACATTCTTCACTTCCAGTTATATATGCACCCTTTAAAATCTAAAATTTACATTTAGGAAAGTAATATTAAATTAAAAATGTCAATATTTGAGTATTGAACCGTAAGAAAATATACATCAAATTTAAAAATACATTCTTAAAACTAAGGAAACTGTTGAAGGATATAAGCCCCTAGGAGTTTAAGTGTTTGAGGCAAAACAGCAACACAACCTTCCATGACAAGTATTGAAAATGAAATACAAGATATAGTTTCAGGCACAAAATATTTATATCTTGAAATTCATTCTTGTAATCAAACTAACAAGCATTTTAGGTCACACAGAACCTTCTATTTTCTTCTTCCTTTAAATCCTTCACAGCATAATAACAATAATAAAAAGAGCACTCATGAAAGCAACCTTTTGAGCTTTGAATCATTTGAAATTAGTTTTTCGTAGTACTGAGTAAAATGTTTTGAAAACGGTAAAGTAAAATGCAAAACATTAAAGCAGAACTCCAGGCAAAGATCATTATCTCAGAATTACAATTCTCAAGAATTACAATTTATATGCCCCACATACTGTATACATCATACTTTTATTTATTCCTGCAAGCATCCTCCATTGTATAGCATGATGGCTAATTATGAGCAAATTGGCCTGGGTTTGATTCATAGGCTGCTCATGGAAATCCATTATAACTTCAAGAAAGTGCAAGTGGTAATCCAAACCCCCAAAACAGCAACAAAACGTTACCTGGTTCATCACTCTCTTCAACAATAAATACAAAGCCATTGAGTATATTCTTAAGAAAAATTGGCATCTACTACTATCCCAATACTTGCCCCAAACCTTCAGTAGTGTTCATAAAAGCCAAAATTGTAAAGAACATATTAGCTCCAAGCAAACTATTACTCATAAAACCAAAATCCAAACACATACTTATTTGACAACAGAAAAGGGATCTTCAAATGCAAAAAAATGAAATGCCTCACCTGCCAATGCATCACAGATGGCCAACCTTCATTCCAAGATAGCTTTGGCAACACCTTTCCCATCACACAATTTATCACCTGTGACCATAGCCATGTAGTCTATGGGTTAAAATGCTCCTGTGGTCTGCTATACATAGGCCGCAGCATCCGCCCTGTCTGGAAACGCATTGGGGAACACTGTAGGTTCAAAGAACAGGGAAGTACTGAATACAGTGTACCCCAACATTTCCTGGAGAAATAACAAAAACACACCATACCTTCAAGTATTCGCAATTGAACAGATTCCAGAAAAAAATCTTCCTCCAGAAAAGATTCCATTTACTTTGCAAGTAGGAGACTTATTGGATTTATAAACTCAACACCCTTTCACCTTTCGGACTTAGTGAAGAAATCAAAATTAACACCATCATTGAAACTTTTACCACCAACACCCAATTTTCATTTTTAAGCCCACAAGCTCACAACTTTAAACAATATTGTGCCTTCCATCACCACACCCCTTCTGCTCCTTATACCCCACCATGCAGACATAGAAACAGACTTATACCGAAACCAGCAAATAATGTATTCACTCTGTCTCACCAGTACTGCTGCAACCCTTGCAACTAAACACATAAAATGCAACCAAACACACATAAATCAAAATATGAAACTCAAACAACTTAGGGATGGTTTGCCACACCAACATAGCTTCACCTTGCAATCTGGCCCTCACCAACCTGTCATCCCTATAGCTGACTTCTACGGATGTCATTTTAGGTTTCAAACACCATTTTTCCTGCCCCTCCCACTTCAAAACTCCACCTACTCTTCAATCTTAAAAAAGTTCTCTCCTGCCAGAACTCCAATCCATTCACTTTGTCTTGAGAAAGAAGACTTCTCTTCCAAACGCGTAGCCGTATCACACAACTCATTTGACAAAATCGCCTGGGCTCCGGGCGGGTCCCGTTCCTGACAGCGGTTTGT